AGCTTGAGGCTCTGTCTCAAAAAAAAAGAAAGCAGCCCTTGATAAAATGATGAATCAAGTACCTTGAACATCATGGCAGCTGTTTTAATTGGTGGTCTTGATGTCCATATGCTGCTAAGAAGACATTGTTGTTCTCACATTTCACAGAGCTGAAGGCCAAGAAAGAATGCAAAGTTTATAATGGTTTTTCCCCTGACGTTGAGAGCCAGGGATGGCTTTCTCCCTCAGCTCCCACCAGAGGCTCAGGGTGGAAGTACCACTGCCTGTACTAAAAGGGCTCTGACAGATGAAAGCCATGGTGACAGGGTGGGGGGTGTCTTCTGTGGCTTCAGAGCTTAGGCTTTTCCATACATTTGCCTTTTAGACATTGACAGCCCCCAAAATCTGGTGACTGACCGGGTGACAGAGAATACGGCCACTGTCTCCTGGGACCCGGTGCAGGCTGCCATTGACAGGTATGTGGTGCGCTACACCTCTGCTGATGATGGAGAGACCAAGGAGGTTCCTGTGGGGAAGGAGCAGAGCAGCACCGTCCTGACGGGCCTGAGGCCAGGTGTGGAGTACACGGTGCACGTGTGGGCCGAGAAGGGGACCCAGGAGAGCAAGAAGGCCGGCACCAAAACCCCCACAGGTAATGCAGCATGCATTATCATGGTGTCTCTGCTGTGCTCGTGGTCTGTCCACACTGGTTTTCCCCCTCTGACCTTGGCATAAAGGGAGGCTTTGTGAAAGCAGGTTGGTATTCCTCATAATATATTGTGTGCCCCTCACTGCCTTTTACTGGCTACTCTTAGAACTCAGGGCTCAGATTCTGGCCTCCAAACTTTGGTGTTTAAAGATTGATGGCTATTGCTTATACTCCTTTGTTCTTCCTCTGTCTAGGCATCTTCTTTGTTATTAACACATTAAATGTTTCATCTTGATAAGGAATAAATATGAAAAGCAAAGTATCTACCAGGCTGCGGGAGCCAGACTCATGGAGTGTGGTCAAGAAACACTGTGTTTTTAAGCTCCTGACTTTCTGTGCTTGTTTCTGTTTCCTTTAGTCCCTCAGATGTATCCTTTTAGTCATTAAAATGCTCATTTCCGTGTAATCCTGAATACTTGATTCACAGTTAAAGCTTGGGCCACTTGTGGGCTGCCTGCTGCTGGCTGGGGCCCAGCTTGGCTTCTTTTCTCTCTCCCTCCTTGAACTTTCGGCACTGTTATTCCAGCTTGCTGTCTATAGTTTCTGATCCATCTTTGCCTGGCCCTGCAGGGAGAGGTAAACTGAGGAGAGCCTGGGGTCTCGAAGGAGAAGAGGTGAGAGGTGAGGAGGAGGAGCCAGGGGTCTTGGTTGACGATAGCAGTCACAGGTGTTTGAGCCTGTTGTGGCTGCTGAGTGTTGAAGCTGACTCTTTCTGTTGTGAAGCCCCTTGTGGTCTTCCTCCTTGGGGAAAGAGGGTCTCTCACTGTAGCATCCTGTGGGCAACCCCCTGTCTCCTATTGATCTTGTATGCCCCTTTCCTCTCTCCATACTTTAATGCCTCTCTGGTGGGGTCACTGTGTCCCTCTAGGTGGGCCTCTTGGATGGCTCCTAGAAGAGCACCAGGTGGGCCCGATATGTTTAACCTACACCTGGTCCCGGGGAACTTGCACTTATCCTTGGTCCATTCACCTGGATGTCCAGGTTGTTGGCAGTGTTGCAGCCCTTTTTTGCTTTGTATCAGAGCAGCTAGCTGTTCTCTTGCTCAGATATTTTAGGCATGTCAGATACCAGCCCAGTTTCTCAAGCTTTGGGCAAAGTTTCTAGCCTTGGCACTATTGATATTTGGAGCTTGGTAATTTTTTGTTGTAGGGGTTATAGGATGTTTAGCAGCATCCCTGCCAGCTCCCCATGACATGCCAGGAGTCTCCCCATCCCATCCTGACGTGTGACAACCTAAAAGGTCTCCAGACATTGCTAATTATCCCTGGTTAAGAACTGCTGTTTTAGGGTCTACGGAACAAGCTCCATAAGGGATCCTATTGAAACCTATGGAACTCATTGTGGAACTTTCCAAATAAATCTGATCTTTGAGTCCCACCTCATTGACCTCTCCAGCCTCTTTTATTGGCCAAAGATAGATGGTCAGTCAAGGGTCACAAAACTGTTGACCCTACCTTGGTTGTGTGGACTCAGGTTGGAAGGTAGGTACTGATTTTCTTGGGGTCACAGCCTAAATGAACATATGTGGTAGGATCTATGAGCAAATGACTTTGGGAAAATGGCTTTGTAATGAACTATTTAGAACAAAGAAATGATTTTTTTTTTTGGTGAATACATTTTAGAGTACCTTCTGTGTGTGTGGTATGGAGGAGCATAATCTCTTGCATTTATAAAGAATCAAGGTGCGGGCCAGGTGTGATGGCTTCTGCCTCTAATCCCAGCAGTTGGGGAGGCTGAGCTGGGTGGATTGCCTGAGCTGAGAAGTCTGAGACTTGCCTCTACCAAAAATAGAAAGATTAGCTGGAAGTTGTGGCATGTGCTATAATCTTAGCTGCTTGGGAGGCTGAGGCAAGAGGATTGCCAGAGCCCAAGAGTTTGAGGTTGCTGTGAGCTATGATACCATGACACTCTACTCAGGGCAACAAAGTGAGATTCTGTCTCAATTAAAAAATAAAGAATCAACAAACATATTTATTAGCCATGATAGCTTCTGGTCATTGGGCATCTACTCAGTGCTAAGAACCATCATAAGAGACAAGTTTTTTCATTTTTAAAGTTGATACATTAGTAATTCATGTATTTATAGAGTACATGTGGGTATTTTCATACATGCATACAATGTGTAATGATCAAATCAGTGGAATTAGAATTTCCATCACCTTAAACATTTATCCATTTTTTATTTTGTGTTGGAAACAATTCACATCTTCCCTTCTGGCTATTTTGAAATATACAATAAATTATGGTTAACTATAGTCAACTATAGTATGTTGAACACCAGAACTTACTATTCCTTCTACCTATTTTTGTGCCCATTAACTAAGCTCTCCTCGTGCTGCCTCCCTACTCTTCCCAGTCTCTGGTAATCATCATTCTGTTCTCTACTTTCATGAGATCAATTGTTTCAGCTCCCATGTACGAGTGAGATCATGTGATTTTTGTCTTTTTGTTCCTGGCTTATATGACCTATCATAATGACCTCCAGTTCCATCCATGTTGAGGCAAATGAAAGGATTTTGTACAGTCTCTGTGCAACTTCTCTAGCTGTGTCCAACATCAGCAGTGACCATGGGCGCCCCAGTGGTCTAGACTGCAGACATTTGTGGGGCAGGTTGTTAATGTCCCTGAGGCATTCATTTTCCCCACACTAGGGAGACTTAGCTGAAGGGATCTCTCTTGGAGTGAGGTCTGAAATGGGCTGCAAGCAGCTGCCTGTGGCTGAGTTCCAGATTCAAATGCCCGAGGTGTCTGGGCTGGGGAACTAGGGTCTTAGGCACAGGATCTTGTGAAGCTATTGTGACACTTGGGTTTTGGGTCTCAGTTGTGTGCTCTCTGTCTGGAATTGGAGCAAGCCTTTCTGTAGAACCAAGACTGGGACCTTGAGGCACCCCCTAGCAGCTTGGGTCCAGGGGGTGAGGTTGTAACTGTGATTCTATCCTTGAGGTACAGGGCACAGCCTCGACCCAACTCCAAGGAAGAAGCAGTGCTCTGGAGGTTTGAACCTAGGTGTAGTGTATGGCTGTAATTTGGGAATCTGAGTCAATAGGGCTCAGTGGCAACTTGGGTTCCTGGGGATGAGGGATTGTGTAGTGGTGATTCTAGCCCAGTGTTTTCAACCTTTTTTTTTTTTTTATCTCACAGCATACTTGAACCTACAGTTAAACTTCTGTGGTACATTTGAATTATGTTGATTAAAAAAAAGAGTTAAGAAAAGAATATACTTGACTGTGCTTTGAACTTTTTTTTAAAAAAATAATTTAATCAATGATCTCTAAAAATTTTTACGGCACATCTAAGATCCTCTCACAGCACACCATTTGGGAATCACTGTGACCCTGGGAGGGTGAGACTTGGCAGTGTTCCAGACTGAGTGTGGCCAGGTGCAGCAGCAGCAGGCACCCCAGCATGGCCAGGCACACTGTTGTTTGGGTCCCAGGGGTCAAGGATCAGCACAGCCATGACTCCACTCCCTGAGGAGGGGTGTCTCAGCAGGTCAGACCTTTTGAGGGACAGTCCAGCTCCAGGGAAGCAGGATAATAGAGCTGCTGGCCTATAAAGCAGGTGTCTCAGCTCAGCCACTGCTCTATTTCCCTGGGATGCTGGGTACTTAATATATCAGTTCAGTCCTGGGATGCAGGGCTGCTCAGCTTGCCAAGGCACTGATTCCCCAGAGGGTGAGGTGCCACTTTAGCTCTGCCCTAGGGTCGTGATGGTTTTAGGCAGCCCAGACACTGTTTCTTCAGGAGCCAGTGCACAGGTTCAGCTCAGGGCTCCAGGGGCAGGGTGCAGCCTGGGGTAAGAGGGTAGATGGAGCTGTCTTGCCAAAGCACCATTCCCCCAGGAGGGATTGTGCAACTTCCCCTCCAGCCCTGGAGATGGGGAGTGGGGATGGGGGAGCAGTTCCCCTGCTGATTCCCCCACAGGAAAGGGTGGAACAGTTGCTCACAGCTTAGCTTGGGAGTGTAAGACCACTGTGCAAGGGTGGCTTGACAGTGGTTTAGCCTTAGGGATGAAGGGGTAAACCCTTTGGCCTTCACCCAAACCAAGGCACCCTCCAGCGGTAGCTCCAGTTCTGAGTTGGTATAGCACAGTAGCTGTGTGGGCAGTGGGGACAGGGCACAGCACCAGCTCATTCTCTGGGAGGAGCACAGCTGTGTGGCTTCCAGTTTGCTCCCTCAGATGGGCTTAGAGCCTGTGAGTGCTGCAGGGGACCCCCATGGTGAGGTTGTAGGTGTCCACGTGTTGGTGGGGCGGCTGGGCTCCTCTTCCTACCTCTGTGCCATAAGGAGATGTTTCTCCTGTTTCCTGGCTGATCCTGGCTGGAAGATGGGGTGGTTGGACCCCAGCGTTTACTT